ACATCTTGCATGAAACCATTCCTGCAGTTTTCCTGCAGTTCAGCAGCTCCTTTTGAGTCAAGTGTTTTGTTCTCCATAACCTGTCTGGCTCAGTTACACTCCCATCTTTCCCTCTCTCCAAAACCCTGTTATAGTACTTCAATCAAACAAGGGGATGAGGGGCTAAAAAATAAATACCATCCCCCTCCACCTCACACATTTCATTCATCTATTTCTACCACCTGTCTGTTACAAATGTGCATCCCGTGCTACAAACAATTGACATTAAATACTTTGGGGTTTTTGCACAGCTCAACAGTCCCAGAAATACTCAGGAATCTACCTTGTCCCAGTACAGTACAAAAACCATGAAGTCATAGAACAACCTAAGCTGGAAGGTACCCGCAAGGATCACAGAGCTCAGCTCCTGTCCGGGACATCCCCAAGAGCCACACCATGTGACTGAGAGCACTGTCCAAACACTTACTGAACTTGAATGATGCCTTTCTTGACACAAGATAACCTTAGACTGCAGTTCATGAAAACACTGCGAGACAAATCGTGAGCACACGCAGCACAGCAGCCGATTAATTATCACGGCATCGGGTTTCCAGCATCATCCGGAAAGCGCAGTCTTACGCTAAGAGGTAATGGGCAAATGGCTAATCGGAACCCAAGAGAGGTCCACGGACCTATTCGAGCCTCAAATTACAGATCACGTACTTCACGTTTAAATTTGAGCCCGAGTCCGACTCAGCCCGCTCTGTGGGTTTCCATCTGTTGTGCACGCTCTTTCCTTTCCATCCAGCCCAGTCTCCCGGGACACGGTTCCGACCCGAGCCCGGAGCCGTGCGGCCGGGACGGGACGGGACGGGACATCCCGCACAGCCCGGGCTCGGCGGGAGCTCCAAACTCTCCGCCGGGGAGNTCGGCTCGGCTCGCTTTGGAGCTGGGGAAAGTTGCTGCGGAGGATGCTGCGGCGGCGGCGGGCGCTGCTATGGCAACGGCAGCGCTGCCCCCCCCAGCCCGGCCGGCCCCGCCCGAGCAACCCGCGGGGCCAGAACGGCGCCAGGGCCGAACCGGGGCTGGAGAGGCAACAGGAGGGTTTAGTCAGCCTGTAGCCAGTGTGTAGGAAGGGGGAAGCGCGGTAGAGCGTGCGGCTAGCAGAAGGATATCTAAGGTTTACAAAGCCCAGTATTATTCCAGTCTTAAAAAGAATTAACTATCACTTCCTTCACTATTTTATCTCTGTACTACAAAGCCTGTAGTCTGTTTATTCACGTGCCCTTTCCTCCTCCTTCACATCTCAAAAGCTATTGCAACCTTACTATAGTAAGCATGACAACACATCACATACCAACCTGACATGGTTCATGCAGATACTGATTCGAATTCTCCTCAAATTTAGGACAAAACATGCATTTTAACTTGTTCAGGCAACTTCATCAGAGGCCAAAAAGGGTTCAGTGTTCAATAAATCACTACTCTTCAAAGAGCCATTTTGGAATGAAAAATCAATATGCAAAGTGCATTTTTCTTCTGTTCCATACTCCAAATGCCACAGTTAGCTTCCATATAGGCAGTGCTGTACAAATTCAGCACAAGTTTGCACTAACAACAAAAATTCTTCTGCCAGTCTACTAAGGAACACTTGAGAAGTGATCCTCCTCCAGTCCCATCTCAGCTTCCCCAAGCTGTATTTAACATGAAAAAGCTCCCCTGTGATTCCAAACGCTAAACATGGTTAGGAAAATAAAACTCACAAACCATAATAAAGAAAAAAGAAAAATTAGTCCTCACCCAGAGCAACAAACAGAGCCATGAATTCAGATACTGCTGCGAGAACTCAGTCTTTTAATTGTGTTAGAATACGAACACTTTTCTTGACATCTGTTACAACAGTTAAGTAACAACTTGTAACACCAATTATGCAGTTTCATCTGCTTTACAGATTGAGCGATTAAATAGCTAGATTAGTGCGTTTACTCACTGCTCACCAAAAAAGTGTAGTGGGAGTGATGTTAATCACATAACAGACAGGTAACTGAGGTCAGAAGCTGCAGTACCCGGCTGTAACACACTCCCTGGCTCTTGTGTCCTGTCCCTGTTTCTTTCCCAGCAACACATGAGAGATGAGTTCCTACCTTTAACTTGACATAGAGGCTCTCCCAAACAGCCTCATAGCACCAACAACCGTGAGGCCAAAGCCAGGACCAAACACAACCAATTCAGAGCACAAACCACACCTGTTTTACAAAACCCAGGGACCTTTATCAACCAGATATCCCCGAGAAGATTGTACATGACTATATCACATGCCATCTTGATTTTTAAAATGCATTTAACTCCAATTTACAGGATTGTATTTTAGCCTTTGAGACACAAATCTTGGATGCTACAGGCTGAGAGCAAGAGCCAAGTGTCTGTGACAACAGGGAACTGGGGAGGTCCAGGTAATCCCAGGGGAGGCAAATCCAAAGTATGGGAAAACATGTGCATACAGATCCAATGTTTCTTACAACTTTTCCATGAACTTCACTTAATTCTTGAGACATACAGTTACATGCTTCCTTATGTATAAATCTGTTTTCAAACTGGGACATCAAAACTCACAATTTTATTTCCAGACCAGTTCGGTCAGTCTAAACACGCATAAAATAAAAGCAGGGAAAAACAAATTATAAGATCTTGTTATTGCTATGACATATATACTTCTGTTATAAGCACAATACATGTGCTGTGCAGTAGACTGCCTAAACTCTTTCAGCACCAAGATGACTTGAACCCAAATTATATATTCAAAAATAATTGGACTAACCAAAGCATGCATTCCATACTCCACTTCTTATCCCTACCTAAAAAGTGCAGAAATTTTTAACCTCAGCTCAAATGAAAATGTGGGTTTGGGTAATTTTCCCCCTGCCCTTTATTTTGCAGCATCACAAAATCAGTGGTAGTCCACTTCCAAAAATACCTCATTAGGAGCAGAATAAAGAAAAAGAAGGGAAGAGGGGGATGGAACATAGAGGAGGAAAAAAACACACAAAAGACCAGACAGAAATTCAAAGAAATTGGTCTCTGAGGACACACAAGAAATCTGTTTAGAGCAAGAAGTAGTTAAAGATTTTTTTTCCTAAGGAAAAATATTGGTTAACCACACTTGCAATTTAGCAGAAGTAATATTTGCAGGTATGCTAGCTAGGCTGAGAGTTGCGAGGCTATTAGTTCAACTTGCGTCAAGAGAATACAGGCATCTTTATCTCCTGTGTAAAGAAGCACTGGACTACTTGCATGGTGATTTTTCATCTATTTTTACCTGTCTCCTGAGTGGTAGCTAATGGTTGCTGCCAGATGCAGAGTGGGGGATTAGACACATCAATATCCTGCTGGGCTACGGTAACTCCTACATGAGCAGGAGATACAGAAGTACAGAAGAAAATTTATTAAGAGCATTGTGTACAAATCACATTAAGACACTTTAATAACTTACATGTCCACTGCTTTGTGGAAAAGGACTATTTCCCTATTTGATGTACCAAAGGGAAGAAGCACAGAGAAATATACTCTGCCACTAGCTCAACACACTTCCAATTTCATGACTTCAGTGCTCAGTTGAATGGAATTACCTCATGCCAAAACACATACATTCATCTGCATGTGGCTTGAGCTCAAAGCTTGCTCAAAGCTTGAGTTAGACTACTTTCTGCCTGTCCAACAACCAAAAGAGATACTACTTGACATAGAAATCAGCAAAAAAATCCTCTCTCCCTCAAAGGCATTCCCATCTATTCCCCTCTGCACTTAAATGCCTCTTCCTGGTTGCCACAGTACAAACATCATCCACCATTACACTGGCTACACTGCCAGACCAGCATCACCTGCCCAGCTTTGCTTTTTTTTTTTTCTTCTAAATTTCAATCAAGTTTTCACTCAAGTGAAAACTCCTTTCCTGCACATAACTCTCTGGGACAAGACTGACCACTTAGCTGTCTATTCATCTGCAGCAAAATTTAAGCTTGACCTTCAGTAACTCCCAGGCAAACAAGAGCTACATGGAACATGTTCTTAAAGGATGGAATCTCCCAAATGCTGGTGCTGAGAAGAGATCAGGTCTCTGAAGTGTCAGTAGCATCAGTAAAAATGGGAGGAAAACAATTGCGAGGAGCAAAGTAGTAACTCTCTCCTGTCCCTTTCACGTGCTGCATTAGAGAGCATCTGTAAAGTGTATTGCTTGTCTGATGCCATTTTTGGCTGCTAAAGGACTCCTGGAAAGCCTTGAATGCTCAACTACAAAAGACCCAACCACTGATCAGCCCCTAACCTCCAAAGAAATCAGATTGTACAATGTGTGCTGAAGTTTCCCCAAAGGTCACTTAAGAACAAAATCAGAGCAGAGCTCTAGCAATGTTTCCTGAATATTAATCCAGTTTCCCAAGGCACAAAAAAAGTAATTTCTTTGGTCCTTTCCAGTGGCTCCTGCTATGTACTGTAGCCAAAAAAGGATGGACCTGGGTAAGAAAGAACTCTATCATGCAGCACATAAACACATTTCAAGCAAGCAGTCATCTTGTAACAAACAGAACTCATTATTCTGTTGCATATTGGTACCTATAGAATAAGCACATGGGGAAGGATGCTTAATGGCCTTTCTCAGAAAAAATTCCTCCTAATGCTAAACAGAAAAAGACCAAGGCAAAGTTTAAAGAACACTTCAAAATACCTCACTTGACAGTAAATGGTTGGCATAAACTGGAGGAAATCACTCCAGAAGTCCTGCTGATAGATACCCTTCAGCTACAGGATTTGGCACCCCATGATGAGGAACACGTTGCTGGCCACACACAGTGGCAGAAGGTGGCATAGACACACCATGCACAAGCAGAATCTCAACAGCAAGAGGAGAGGCCTGAGCACATCCCAGTGATGGTGTTAGATCCACACAGACCACTGTCATCATGTGTATCCATCACAATGATTCATCCATCACAATGATCCATCCATCACAATGATCCATCCATCAGCTGCTGCTCTAGTTTACTGTGAAATGCAGTCTTATGGCAGGGAAGTAGAAAGCATGGTCTTTGGGGTTCATATGGGACTTTCACTGCACAATCCCAAATGTGAAAGGAACATGCTGTGCATGACTAGTTTCCTCTAGTCTGTACAGCCAAGCTTGTGTTAGATGGATGAAATCTGTGGCAAAAATGTAAGTGTCAAATGCTAGAAGTAACTAGCAAAAGTAGGGCAGGTTTTAAACAGGATCTATACATCATTCTTTGATGGAGGGAAGTCCAAGTTACCTATACTTTTTTTGATTTTATACTAAAATTACCAAAAGCTACTATTCCTGGTTGAAAGCAAATAAACAAAATCCTTAACACTACTTTTTCTCCATGAGAGCAGGTGTTGAAATGCTTTAACCTCATTCCTAAACAAGATGAATACATTTTCATTGTCTCAGCATAAAGCAGTACAAGCTCAGCACTTGGATAGGCTACCATCATTTGTGCAGAACTGAGAGAAGAACAAAACAGTATCTACACATTGCTAATTGTGCCAGACGTGGGGAAATATTGTCTACTACAAAAGGAGAGGCATCTCTAGTGCTACTAAAACAATTTACAGTTTAGCTGTGAAGTACGTGCCTGAGAAACACAAGAGGAAACAGTGGCAGACAAGGCATTCAGTATCAAAGCAGTGTGCATCTGTCCCCTGCAAAGCTCATAATTTAACATTTTCAAATTAAAATCATGTCTGCTGAATCCCCTGAAATAGGAAGTGCTCACAACTGGAGAGGAAGTCAGCTTAATTCCTAAGCTTTGCAATGGTCTGGCTTCAGCATTTGCATTTAATGAGAACTGAACATTAAAATCAATATGCTTAGAGAGCAACAAGAGTAATTAGACTCCTTCAGTTTAAAGGGGGCAACAGACAGCTATTACAAGCCAGCCTGGTACCTCTGCAAAACAGGGATGAGAGCTATTAGGAATTGTATAAAAACAAACACTTTTCACATTTGTTAGTTATCTGCATTAAAGATGCAGCTACTTAGCACATCCTACATTAATCAGTTCTTAATATCATTGAATAGTTAGATACTGGAAGAATTAGCTTGGGAAACAGAAAACCTAATTCAGATATCTGCAGTAGACCAGCTTCCTTCAGTACAGACATGGCTTAGCTGGTGTCCCCAGCAAGGATGACTGGCTAGAACAGCAGAGACCCCACTCTGCTCCTGCACTGACCCATCAGTTTAGTCGAGGTACACTGCTGGGTCTGAGTGCCTTGGGACCGTGGTGAGCCAGTGCAGAACACTGGAAGCAGCACCAAGTGGCATCAGCCAAGCTCCACAATCCACTTGAGTGCCACCTCCACTAAACCAGGTGGTGACTGATTTTTCCACAAGCCATTTGGGTACTGCATCATGCTTGCACTGCAAGCCTGCACAGCTAGAAAGCCTGAGCTGATCTGCTGACACTTTACCCAAAAGCCAAAGCCTGTTAGTCTTCTTAATGCCGTGCAAAGCATTAGCCACTCTCAGAGCTTAGCTGCCAAACACAGGGTAGCCTTACCTGCTACATCCTGTACCTAATTAAAAAATAAAAAATAAAAATATTGAAAGGACTCCTGTGGCAAAGATGCTGACCCTCAGAAACATTTACTCAAGTAATGTCCTACTCAGCAATTCCCTGTGCAAACTTCTGGGATATTCTTCATTAAAGCTGTAATTCCCCATTATACACTGGTAAGCAGCCATTAAAGATGTCCAACAAAGATAAGCTGTAGAAAAAGCTTTCCTGCTACACAAGATTACACTAAATTCTGTGACTTCATGTTTTCATCTTACAGGCACAGAAGAGACTGTTTTCCCCAAAATGCGCTGTATATGGCTCTTCAAGGAGCAGCTGACACAGCCCTAGAGCAGAGATTTCCAAGGACACATTCCCATCTCTGCCAGTTCCTACTGCAGCAGCAGCAGTACCTTGGCTGAACAAAGAGGCTTCCACTTTCCTGCTGCACACAGCCACTTCTGCCAGAGGCTGGCGAGATGAACACAAACAGCTCCAGTCAGGCTGGATCAAGGCTTCTCTGCAGCTGCAGCACAGCTTGAATACTCACTGCAGCCAAAACGAGGGGATGGGAAGGGAAAAGGACAGTCACACTGCCCTCAACTCAGGGCCAGGAAAACTGATTTGGAGCCAATAAAGCAATTCAGGATGATGGGGGAGAATGTTTGACACTTCACTTACTCAATCTGCCTCACTGCATCCAGAGAAAATACCACCCCAATGTCCCCTTCTTCCCTCCCCAAAAAACAAGGAAAAACTCTTTCCTGTCACCTCAATGCCATAGGAGATGGCAGCTTTAACCTATTCTCTCCATCTCCTTAAACACCTCCTCACTAAAAGGAGCAAGAGCAGCTTTGGTACCTCAACTGGAGCACACAGAAGCAACAGAAACACTGACAGGAAAAGGCAGCAGGGCTGCACAGCTACTACAGTCTCATTAGGGTGGATGTGGCTGCACTAAACAGGGTAAGAGCACCTGTCCTACTCTAGACGACACAGATTTTAAGTCTTTATTAAACTTTATTAAATTTAAGTCTTCAACTTTCATTGACAAAACAGACTACTTTCGTACAGGTCACTGTTTCTGTCAGTAGCTATATTTAGAAGTCCAAGCAAACTGTCAACTTAAGCACATAATGAAATTATTATTTTAGATCTAGAACAACATTCTGGTGACAGAATGCTCCGGAACTAATTTTTTTGTATAAACTTTCTAAATTAAAATAATTTAGAATTCAAAAGCTTACTACCTTAATTTTCTTTCTGTAACAGATGAGGAAACATTGTGATAGCAAAGACATTAAGGGTGATTAAAAATACAGAGAGAGGACAGAAAGCAATATTTCAAGCATAATACAGTAAGAGTAACATTAATGTGATGTAAGATTACACATCATACACAGTTAGCTACCCAATAGCTGTGACACAGATACTTTAGGTGACTGAGGACACAGATACTAATTCCTTTGGGGGCAGACTTTCAGTTTAGATCCTGCTAAGGATCTGCTTAAACACATGGGATAACTGAATTATAGCCCTCCTAAAAGATTCATTTTTTATTCAGTGTTAGGGAAAAAAAGCTAAGTGTCAAGAAAATGGACTTTGTTACTTTCAGTATGTCTACTCAGACAAAAGACTCATCAAACCTGTACACAGACATTAAGATTTTCAGCAGCTGCAAAGATACTTGAAGAAACAATGGAGAAACAAAACATTTCCATTAATAAGATTCACACAGAGCCTGAGGAAGCCACAACCTTAAACAGAGGAAAGCATCAGAATATTTACAATTAATTTTGAAAGCTCGTACATGCTGCTAGGTTTTCACTCAGTAAACCATCATCTCACACACTGAGAACAGGAGTGAGTGCAGCTGACGTACTTCAGCTTCATAAATTCTGCTTTAAGGGATCCACCCTACAGTCTGGAAAATAATAAAGTCTATTCAGCATAAACAGGGCCAAGCCTCCATTATTACAGGAGATATGCAACATCGAGTGTCTTTAGTATCAAAGGGAATTATTACCTCTCAAACTGAACATTCAAATCAATAAAGAACTCAGAAAGCATACACAAAAATCAGAAATCAAAAATTTCTAACCCCAAACCAAATAGTCAGTATTTCCACCCCTTCAATCAGCTCACATTTGTCTTTTTAAGGATGATTTTAGCTTGAAGATGAGAAAGAAAAACAGAGCTACTTAACTGTAGAGGTGCTTTATATCCAATTCTGGTAAAAAAACAAATCACACCCCAAACTGAGTTAATTTCTCCAGTGTTTTGAATTTCAAGCAGACAGAAGTAACAGCTTCTTAGGTTTGCTATTTTAAGCATGTGACATGCTGTATTTTTCATTACTTTTTCCAAATGAATACCACAGTAACTACTTATTTTTATAGACAAGTATGAGATAACTGAAATTCAGACTTGAACATCTGAGTTCAAGAAATGAAGTATATTATGAGTGATGATTAAAGCTTTGTTGGTTGTAGCCCAGCCAACACCTATCAATTGTGCAACTCCAGAAAAATTAAAAAAAACTCCCCCTCATTGTGGAAGTCACCATTAGCAAAGGCAGGGCCAGAGGGGAGAGCTGGGGACAGAAGGTGACAGACCAAAGCTAAAATCCTCTACTGCTGTGAGACTGCACAGAGAGCCAGGCTACACAGCGCAGCTGTATACCACCCCCACATAACTCACATCCCATATCCCTTTTAGAAAGATTTTTAAAAGGCCAAAAAAAAGCACCTTGATGGGCAAATCAAAATCATGCTGCAGAAGGGACCAAACCATTTAACTCTTCCAGTGCCCACTAGCAGAGAGAGACACCAGCTGTAACATAGCAACTCTTTCCAAAAAAAACATTAGAGGTCAAGCAAGTGCTTTCCACAGCAATATCATGGAGATGAATTACATGCACAAACCAGAATTTGCACCTACTGGTGGGGTAGAAACACACAAGGCTGGGATGGGGTGTCCACAGGTGAGCCTGTTATGCCACACAGCCAGGCTCCCACCCCACAAGGTGCAGCAGGAAGGACCAGACAGAAAGCAAGCCTGCCTACACACTTTCCACGCCATTTACTGCTGTTCAAGATTTATAAGTCAGGAAGGTATGTGCTAGCAGTCTATCTCTAGGTGCCCTTCTTCCCCCTCCTGAGAAGCAATAAGGCAATGGCACTGCCTGCACTAATTTACAGTCCCTCCTTCGTGTAACCAGGATCGTCTGGAAGAGAGCCACCTGCTCCTAGGTGCCAGAGGGAAAGAACAGCACTCCTGCTGTTAGTGCTGGGAGCACTTTCCAGGAATGGCTTTCTGGCAAGAAGGGAACAGCTGCTGCTTTTGACCTCTCATTGCAGGTTGGACACACATCCTGCCCTGAGCAAGGAGTGTTTGTAGTGGAGGAAATGTAGAGAGCTGTGTAGTCTCACATCTGACCCTCTGGGCTGTCAGTCAGATGAGCACTGGCTGACTGATACTTTGATTCAGATGTGTATTAAAGTGTAGTAACTTACTTAGAGTGGGTTTTTTGTTGCTAGCAAGAATGATTGACAGGAACAGGGTACAAGAGACTAGATCCCAGCTAGTTAAAAAAACTGATGTTTTTAAGATATGGATTTCCTGGGTCTTCTTTCATCATCCACTTGCTACCTTTCCATCAAGAGAGTTTGAAAAGCTCTGGAACAAGTATACTATGTTATTTGTTCCAAAATTAATGTTTTTCTTGTCTGTAAATAAAATTAAGCCTGCAGTAGAATTTTACATTTCACTTATAGTTGATGATCCTTTATATATTATGATTTCTGTGCTCTGCTTCAAGAACCATCACATGTCCCTAATTTGCTTTTGTATTTCTCAGAAAAAATTAATGTTCAATTTGTGAAGCAAGGCATGAAAAGCAAAAGCTTGCCAAACTTGGTGTGTGAGTACTGATCAATAAAAGCTTATTTGTATTAGAAAAGAAACAGTTGTTCTGCAACAATAGCAGAATTTATTATCATGAGTTACTTTCAAAGCAGTTTCCAAAGAAGTTTCGAGGCCTTGCACACAGGTGGCCAAATGAGCCTGACCACCAGCTGGCCAAAGACTTAAAAAGAGACAAAAATCAGACGAGGCTTGCAGCTGTTCCACAGCAGTAGTCAACCAGAGAGTGCAGGGCAATGGTGACCAGAGGCAAACCGGTCTCAGATTGTGCAAATGAGACACAATTCTCCTTGGAAAGAGAATTCTGCAAGAGCAGTCATGCTGCTAGATTTCAAAACAACGTTCCCTTGGCCTCATTAGAGCCTTTCAAACAGACATATGGGGCTCTTGGCTGCTGTTACCCACCAGACCAGCAATTTGTTTTTCAAACTTTAGCAGATTTGTATAAAACTGAGGTAACAGCAGAAAGAATCACAGCAACACAGGTTTAGCTGGATTGCACAGTCTCTCAAGTCAATTCAAATCTGGAACAGGGTGGTAAAAGTCCCTCACTGCATTTTCATCTGTACTCAATAAGCAATAAAACAAAATGGAAGGGATAATTCCTCCCTCATTTCCCAACTTCACTTAACATATTCATACTCAAGTTTGTTCTCTCAGAGGTCTAGTATTTCCCCACTCTCTAGCTTTGTTATGCCTATCTAGCTCTTCAGGGTTCAATTAAATCCTGCACAGAATGATTGCCTTCATCTGATTTTCAGAGGTTGAAGTTGGGAATTAACCCTGAATGTTCGTCTCTTCGGCTAACCTGGACCATCCCATGAGTGCCACTGGCAAGGACCTTCAGGGCCTTTATAATGCTGACAAAAGTTCACCTCCTGGCAGGAACTCCATATTCAATCAACTCTAGTTCACCTCCTGGCAGGAACTCCATATTCAATCAACTCTACAGGGAATATCCCCTTGCCTTCTCCAACAGCAGACTGAGCTGATCTCTTTGGAATACAGCCTTTGACTGGAGTGAGCTCCAACTTCCCACCTCTGTGGGCTGTGCACATCGAGCTGGCACCTCAAAGAGCACCCCATCAGCCTGCTGTCACCCTCGTGTTTCCCAGGTGGCTGCCAGGTGTGGGCTGTCTAAAGAGCACCCCATCAGCCTGCTGTCACCCTCGTGTTTCCCAGGTGGCTGCCAGGTGTGGGCTGTCTGATACCTCGTGTGACAAGTGCACCCTGCCCAGGCCATTGCTGTGGAAATTTTTAATAAATGCATTGAAATTCTTTCCATCCTCTCAACTAGAAAGCATTTTAAAGTTTTTTCTGGAGGCAATTATCAAGGTCAGTGAAGAGGAACTGGATTCTAAATAATTTGCATTGCAGAACCACATCCCTTTTAAGATTGAAAAACAAACAAACAGACAAGCACACAGGAAAGCAGAAAAATAGTGTTCGCCTATAAAAAATAATTACAAAACAATGAGCATCCAGATTAATTGACACGTATTTCTTACTGTATCTACAGAGCTTACCCCCAGTACTTTTCTACCCCATACTGTATTCTTTTATATTAAAATGGTTGCTAGGAAGCAAACAAAAGGGCAGAAGTGCACTGCAGGATTTGCATTTCCTATTCAGTGCTGAAGATTCACTGCCACCTTTTTGGCCTGGAGACACATTAACCCATACTTCCCACTGTCCACACCACATGTCTTTAATTGTCATTTTCTGGAT